AATGTATATTGTTGCTATATAGATGTCTAAAAAGTACATGGTATATCATTTTTAAATGTTATATTGTTCTACGTACGAGCACTTTGATTGCATGTATCTAGACAGTTCTTGTTTAATTTTAACTCGTTGAAGTGTTTGAAATTTGGTGGGAATGTGAGTATATGCTTTAGTTGTTGAATAACATGATTAAATTAACAATAACATTGTAGCAATACTACTAATAATGTAGGTGAAGATGGTTGATAAGATACAAAACATTTTTATTTACAAAAGCTTCGAACGTTTCAAAATACACTTATTCTTTTTTAAATCCTACACTTAAAGTGAATCAAATCGACTCTATAGAAGTACTGCGGGCTATAATCCCCATTTCCTAAAGGTGTCAGGAAAATCATTCGCGTTCGTCATGCGTCCTTATTCGTATGACCACATTTTTTAATTGGCGGGTATCGAAACCCGGTTTCTAGTGTTAATTCCGCTAAATAAATGCTAAACTTCACTTTCTGTATATTACAAAACACTTCTTCAATCCAAATTATTTATTTCAACATGTTCTGCTACCCTCTAAGCTTAAGGCGTTGTAACTTTACGTGGAATTTTGGACTTACATTATACATATCCTCCAGCTAAACTATCAATTTCTAACAAGAATTTGCCACCAATAAAGCTTTATCAGCAGTAAAGTACTGGTCAAATGCCATGCCTTCTACTGAGCATCCTGCTTTCAAAACGAGTCATAAATTCTTTCTGACGTTTGTTACTGTATTATTTGTAACCAACAGAAGGTGAGTATTTCACTGAACTGACAGCCTCAATACTCGTCCTGGCCACAAAATCAGCAAGACTTGTACTATCATGCCTTTCTCTAGTAAGTCACCCGCCGCTAATCCGACACCGCCTGTAATAATCGACCACTTACTTCATTCGTATATACAAACCCCGAGTTAAAGTTATCTCTGAGCTTACCACAAGACTGCGTAAAGGGGTATCCTCCTTCAACTTAAAACCCCGGGCGACTACTAATACTCTAACCCGCCCGTTACCTGCCAACCACCCAAAAGCAGCTCCAGCCTGCACACGATCTTCCAAAGGAACGTCCATCAAATATTTAATGGCAGACAAAATCATCCAAGCCCTAGAAGTAACCACACATTCCAAGATTCACCCTGTCCATCGTATAACATCCAAGAGATCTGGACTATCATCCCATTTCATCAAAGTAGTAACAACTTCCAAACAGACTGCAGACTATATCTTAACACATGGCTGATTTCACAACTTTTATCATTTTAAAGCAGAAATACATTGTCGCAAGCCTTGCCCAGATTCCCTCCCCCGCCACCCCACTCCTCTCCCAACCAACACCCGCCGTCAACCAAGAAACCCAAACCATCTATTTAAAACAAACAACCTCAAGGAACCAACAGACCCAGACGAATGTTAAACAACAGGATAAGTCAACACCAAGAAGAAAGAAAGCAACTCAAACCCAGCTGCCATCAGATAACCAAGTCTGACCAGTTACCACCATCGAGAAATCTCAACAAACCAGCAACTTGCAAGAACTACAATCTTTCCCATCCCATAAGCCAGACCCAGATGTCGTACCCTCTTTGTCAAACTCACCTAACGCTTTGCACGTAGACACCTCCACTGATTCTTCTTCTACTCTGCTGTCCGACCCCACAGACGAGCCTCCCTCGCAGTCCTTCCTCGTCTATCGTCCACCTGCCAGTGACGTCAAAGACACCACCCCGATCAGACAATTTCCCGACAAGTCATCTCCGCCAGCTGAAAAACTCCACGTCACATTAAATAACCTACAGCCTCGCCTATCACTTTGCCTTCTTACATCTTATTTCTTCTTATTAACTGGGCACTGATAAAGAATTGGCGCCTTACCAGTGAAAGTGGGTTTTTTTAGGGGTAGTCCCGTTTCCTCCACATCAAATTCTGGGCATAGGATTTATAGATCCCCGCCACCCTGAAGGACCATATGTCCGAAATTGTCCGTTTATATGTGCAGTGCAATGTTATGTTATGTATCGTGAAACCATCTCTATACAACCAACCTATTCACTTTAGTTTTTAAAGTTCTCAACCAAGACCATATCATTTCCTAATCCTCGAGCAGGGCAAAAGAAGATTCAATTTTCGAGCACCCCAATGATTAATTATATTTTTTTAATAATTAATTTTCATTGAAGTACCTGCCAGCCTCCAGTAAGCCACCCGCCGCTAATCCAACACCAACTGTCATAATCGCCGTACTACCACTTGACTTCTCTCCCTGGGACACCACTTACTTTATTCGTATGTACAAACCCCGAGTTAGAGTTATCCCCGAGCTTACGAGAAGATAGCGTAAAGGGGGTATCGTCCTACAACCTAAAACCCTGGGCGACTTCGAATATCTCTGTCGACCTTGGCAATCTAACCTGCCAACCACCCAAAAGCAGCTTCAGCATGCACACGATCTTCCTAAACAACGTCCATCAATAGTTCACGGCAGATGAAATCCTCCTACCCTAGAAGAATCACCCATTCTAAGATTCACGTCGTCTATCATATAACATCCAAAAAATCAGGACTGTCATCCCATTTCATCAAAGTAGTAACAACTTCCAAACAGACTGCAGACTACGTCTTAACACACGGCTGTTTTCACGAATTCTATCATTTTAAAGCAGAAAACTTTGTCGCAAGCCTCACCCACCCCAAACATTGCCCAGATTCCCTCCCTCTCCCCCGTCACCTCCTCTCCCAACTAATAAACCCAAACCGACTACCCAAAACAAATAACTTTAATGAACCAACAGATCTAGACAGCACCTATCTTCAATGTTAAACTACATGACAGTTCAACACAAACAACCACGCCAAAAAGAAAGAAAGCAACTCCAATCCAGCTGCCACCAGATAACCAAGTAATTTCCTAATTCTCGAGCCGGGCGAAGAAAGACTCAATCTTTGAGCACCACCTATGATAAATTATAATTTTTAAAATAATTAATTTTCATCGAAATACCTGCCAGTAGTATAGTATAGTACTAATAGCCATTCCTGTTCTGTGAAAGTGGGCTTTCTTGGGGTTATCCCGTTTCCCCCAAATTCTAGGCATTGGATTTATAGATCCCAGCCACGGCATTTGGATTTACAGATCCTTGCCAGGCCCGTCTGTTCATCAGTTCAACCTCGCCGGAAACTTGACTCCTTCACCTCATACCACACCTATCTCGCCTACCACGTGTATTAAAATTTTATACTCCTTACGCCAAAAATTACTCCTCCACTCTAGCAAAACTACTCAATCTTCGGTTAAACAACACTTACTTCTTGCAGGGCGAAGGAAGATAATCTATCTCCGAGCACCCCGAATGTTTACTGTCCGAGGGTCGACATTGTAATGCCGATTGTCGAATTACTCTCATTTAAATTCTTGTCACGTTTTTTAGGTTTAGTAACTGACAGCTATATGGTCTGAAGGTCTGGGACAATGGAATAATAATTTGGACATCTGAGCGTCGTCTTCACGTTGTTGGGCTCTGTTTATCCAGGTATGGGAATAATTTTAAGCAATTTCTATGTTAGTTAGAAAGCTAGATAACTTACATAAGTTTTAGGGCATTCTATTTTATGTGTGTAGAAATATTTTGTATTATAAATTGAATAAAAGATTTCTGAGGCCACATTATTATAAATAATTGTAATTCTCTGGTACAATCTGCAGCCGTTCTAGAAAGATAAAGAGATAATTTATTTCATATTTTTTGTGGTGGTTACAATGTTGGTAAAAATGACTGAGCTTGTATATAAAACGAGTTAACAAAACACACGTAAAATACTTTGTCTTTAACATAATTTTACCAAAAATGTTGAAACAAAATGTGTTTGAAGATGCTTGTCTCAATTGTTCGTGTTAATACTACCCTCTCATTTAACGAAAAAATTTGTAAAATATTTTATCGTTTCAAAGTTCATGTTGAACTGTTTTACTTCACATATTTATTCAGACCAAAATGATGCAGAACATGAATTATTACCATTGTTGGCCTAATTGTATGTGATATTTTGTGAAATGAAATATACATCTAGTATTTAAAAAATATGGTATTCGTATGTAAAATATTTTCGTTCAAAAAATATACATTTCCTAAAGTTGTAGTTGTGTGTATATGTAATTTGTATATGATAGATATCAAAATACCGATGAACATTGTTTGGAAATTATCCTTATCCACACATCAGATTGCCGTAATAAATAATAATTATGTTACTTCGAAGATTTATCAACATTTTATACCTAAAATCACCAAGCAAAACCCTAAAAAAATAAAGCATTTAGTAGGATAATAAGTGGAAATTTAAAACAAGTATGTTATGAAAACCTAAGTTTCAACGTTGATTATTGATCAAACCAGCGTATTTCCACTGAAACACTTCTGTATGTGTTTCAGATTGTTAAATAACAAATATACATTTTAAAATCACAAATACATTATTGTTCTTGTATGTGTGCCCTTTGACAGGCTACATCCTGCCCTTTAAAAAATTCTGTATCTGCACTTGTCTGTGATGAAAACTTGAAATTGAATTGTCTAATTTGTCTTCTGTAAATATTTATCAAGTTAGGTGTTGTTAATAATTATTGCCATTTCCTGAAATACTGTTAATCTGGTGACAGCTGGGTAGATCTAAAGTCTGAATGGTCACTTTATTTGCTTGTTTCATTATGAACTAGTGTGAGTAGGCCCACTGGAAGTCTTCAGCTACAGGTCTCGGAGACCCTTAATATGACCCTTCGGAAAGGCATTGTTTTAAGAGGTGTTTGCAGAAGTCAAATATGACCCTGCGGATAGGCATTGTTTTAAGAGGAGTTTCAGAAGTCAATTTTTCCGTGTACAAAGAATAATTGGAGTAGAAATTAGAAATTATGTTTAAAAGTGACAGGACTAATTTCTTTTGAAAATATTAGGGATAAAGTTGTTAAGATTAGTGTAGAGGCCTATAAAAGTATTTTTACGAAAATTAGAGATTGAAAAATGTTTACCTTCTTTAGAATTCTGATGCCAAGGAAAGTTTTAGATGTGAAACTGACATTAAAGTGTTAAGAGTTCAGATAAGCAAGAAATTTAAAAAACGTGACTAGATGTTCGAAACAGCAAGAAAGTATGATGTAATATAATGTTTGTATAAAACAGGTTTAAATTTAGGTGAGCAGTTTTCTAACCAAATGCGTTAATATAAAACTACTGGCTATCATTAGGTCCAATATAGAGGAAAATCTGATGCTGAAACATAAACAATACAGACAATATTTTTCTAACGTCAACACCAAGATTTCCGATAGATCGTTTCGTTCATTGATTTTGTCCATCTAATGTGCTCAATTCATAAGAACAATAAAAAATAACAACCATACAAGAGCAAGTCCAAGATAGAAAACTTCAAAACTGACACCTCCCTTTCCAAATTCTAATTATAGGCCTTGATTTTAACTAATAATTCATTTTCGATGTTAGCTAACTTAAAGAACGGTACAGCTTACTATCGTGTAAAAACTGAATGAAAAACGTCCCCTTCTCCATTAATTAAACGATGTTCAACTACATGCTCCTGGTCCCCTGGTTGGAAAGTAGAAAGTTTACAGACTTGCAACGCTAAAATCTGGGATTCGATTCTCCGCAGTGAACGCATCAGATAATGCAATGTGGATTTGCTCTTAAACAAAGAAAAAAAAAAAACAAACTACTTGCTCTTAAGACTGTATCCAAGAAAAAAATTATTTTCACTAAACCAAATAAAGATAATGTTATTGTCTTTATACATAAAGTCGACTACATTTGATAAAATAAGCCGCCAATTCGGTGACCCTTGTGAATTACAAAAACTAGACACCTACTGTCTTTAACTTTTAAAGGAGAAGATCTTATTTCCCTCACCATGAAGTTAAAGTATTTTTTCTTCGATAAGTCCCTTTCTGAGCAGATAGATGAACTCGTTAAACCCAACTATAACCAATAGTTTTGTATACTACCAAGAACACACTTGGTTAGAAAACTGCTTAACTAAATTCAAACTTGTTCTATATTGATAACACTTTCTTGCGGTTTCGAACATGTATATATATACATGTATTACAGGACCTTTTATTACGGAAATTTAAAAAATTCACGTTTGATCGTTTTTCACAGGTTTCTATGCAGTCTCAAAACTCTTAAAACTTGGAGCAATAAACATACAACTGTACTCATATTCATAAGGGCTAGTATTTTATCCTTAGAGTTGGCAGGTCTTCTAATACTGTATGATAAGCAAGTATTAACAAAACCAGGTGATTTTTTAAGTACTAACTCATCAATTTATTACTAAATAATAAATTACTACATTACTGAGAGATTGAAATTTTGTTTTCGAAAGAAGTTAGAGGTTCAAGAATGAATATCTAGAAGACGACTAAAGTTGAGTTCATATTATCCAATTATATATATATTTTAATGAATATATTTTGTTAATTCTATAATATAATTATGAAATTGGTGTAATTGTTTCATACCGCATATACTAGAAACAAAGTCCTACAGTCCACTCTTTTATCGCTTTCTATTAAAAGTTCAGGTAACAATGTTGAAAACTTTTTTACATTATAAACTATAATGTTAAGGAGATATCTTTGATAAAATATGTGTAATGTATCTAGAAGTGCTGTCAATCTATACTAAAACATTAGAAGAAATAAGTATTATTGTATTACAAAATATATATATACCATAGCATATAAATTAAAAACATACAAATTAGTTTTCATCAATGTGTGATGAGGATAAAGGCTTAAGATAAACGAGAAATGAAAATTACTATAAACTGCAATTATTCTGAAATTCGTTAGACAAAAAAAAACTATTAACAAAATTTAAGATTTCTACACCAAAACAATTTCTGTACATTTCTTTTCTTACAAAAATAACAATCTGAACAGCAAAATGTTATCTGCATTCTGACGCTTCAACTACTTAATTAGCTTTTAATGAACTTTATCCATGTTTGAAGTGCCTTTGAATTTAAAATTTCTTGTCTATAGGTTAAAACGGCTCGATTACTAACAGCCAGGGATACATTTTTATTTTTACAAAATCTGATTCCTTCTCTGTAATGATGAACAAGTGCAGACCTACTAGGAAAAAGATACATTTTGAAGCCGGGAAGATGTTTCAAAACGCAGTGAATTCCACCCATTTTAACCATTTGAGGTCGAAGGATGTATTTGGAACGATCACAGTATGGCCATATCTTATTTTCATGCAACAGCTTAGTCTGGGTTATTAGATTGAAATTACCATTTTTGTTTACGTTTACTGAAGGATATTCAACACAAAAAAATGTTTGTCGAAAAACGTAACTACCCCACAGGAAGTTCGATTTGTTTGCTAGACGTTTGTCTACATCTTGCACAATTTTTTGTAAAGTTGTTTTATATTTTTTCTGTGGAACAATAAACTCATCCAAATCAACTATAACCAGTAGGTCATAGTTCATGTGTCTGTAGATGCAGTCCTGAATAGCAGCCATTTGTCCCATTGCCCACATTGACCTCAGGTCCTCCGTGAGATCCCAGGAATTTAGGGTAATGGAAATACCGTTTTTACGAAGCTGAGTTAGAAAGAGAAGTGTTGCATTTGCTATTCCAGCATTATAGAATGAGAAATGTGATACTCCAATTGCCTGATAATACGCTATGAATTCAGCGAGCGATTGACTGATGTTTAAATTTCCATATATAGGTCGCACGCATAGTGCTGTTGTATTAGTGACAGATGCTTTGGTGTCATAGGTGAGTTTGCGAATAGGAATCCAAATGTTATCAACAATATCCTTGAGTTTGAGTGTTACATAAAGAGAAGGCTTATCGAACAAAGGTTGACAGTAAAAGAAAATACCTGAAGCATATTTGTGATGATGTTCCTTCATTATTTCGAATGTGGTGTTAGCCGCAGACTCCTTTGAATTTGTGTCATTACTAAATACACATTCGATAGACGAAAGATTCTTGCTTTTTCGAAATCCAGCTGCGATCACAACTACGGAAGGTCTCTCAAGCCTATCTCTATCATCCCAGTATGCAGAGTATACGTAAACATCTGTTGTAACTCTTCTCCAATTATCTATGTTACTATGGGCACGAATGAAAGAATCAAGAATGCCAGTTGAGGTAAGACAGCTTTGGCCACTTAAATTATTTGAAACCGGAATAGTATGACCAGCTTGCGTCCAGTAACGGACGTTTTTAGTCAAAGTATGACTAATTTTATCATGAAGAAGAAATATTATAGCTACACCAGTAAACACAACAGCAAGAAACAGTTTCCATGTGACAGAGATTCTGTGGTTCATGGATTTGTAGAAAGTAGATTTCTATAAAAGATGGGAAACAAAATATTACTGTAATTGTATCACTGATGTATAAAAGGTATTAATATACCACCTGTCGTAAGCTAATAACATTCTGTTTAATATAAAAATAATGACATAAAACTTATCTAAACTCGATATGTACACAGTATCATTGCAATGATAAATTCAACACGGGAGATTAAGTATATTTATTATTGTTTAAAACTACAAATATGTTTTTGTTGTGAAAGGAATGCCAAAAGAAAGTGTAACTTAGTTCTCTCTACTCGTTCTCCATTATGAAAAGTTACTCCTTCCAACTAATTCATTAATAAAAGTACATCATGGTCACTGTCTTCATGCAGGAAATGATCCATAACGAAATACTGAGTTCAGCCGTTCTATCTATTTCCCCCGACGCAAATCGAACCGTATCGAAACATCCTTCACTGGCAGCTAAAAACTGTACTTAAGTAAATGTACCTACTGTTTGAGTGAAGTTTCTATCCACACACAGTAATGCCGTTTACAACTCCATTCATGTTACAGAAGGACGAATTTTTTTATGTTTATTATCTAGAACAACAATAAAACTGTTCGATATACACGACTGTTTAAGTTTAAAGCGAGTGTTAAATTTAGTTATTTTTTTAGAAGCGATGGTATTATTGCGTCATATTACTAGAATTTTCTAAGTGTTTCTCGTTGTTTTGATCGAGTATTATTACATCATCATATCTCGTGGTGTGTAGAAAGTTCTAGAGCCCCAGTCAACCTATAAAGTGTGTACAAAATGTAGTTTAACTAAGACAAAGTTAGTAAGAGACACAGTCAACTAGATATGTAGGCTACGTGTTTGTGAGCTCAGCCGTAAAGAGCGTATAGTGGTATTTTTTGAAAGTGAAATTATCGCAGATTGTATTGTAACACTAGAGTAGAGAAGGATAATATGTTTTGTGAATTGTGTTAACAAATAATTGAACAAACATGTGTGTACTTTGACGAAAAGAGACAACTATTTAAAGCTCTGGATACAACTGTAGTAAGCAACAGTGTAACGTAAGTGAAATTATCACCGATTCGATCGTAAAAACAGAGTAAAGGAGAATAATTCGTCTTGTCAATTGTGTTCTAAAGTAATTGAACCAGCCTGTTTGGATTTTGACGAAAATAGGCAATTATTTAAAGCTCTTCGATACAACTGTGTAACGAACATTTGTATATATGTTTGACTTGTTTAATATATTATTTTAAAACAAGTGGACTGTGTGCTGTTTCTTTATTTTTGAAATTTATCACCAACAAGTCACAGACACCTACTGAAGAGAATCCTGCCCACCCATACCTACAATCTGACAAAAACATTGCATGGTTTTATGAGATTTAAAAGTAAATAAAACAATCTTCAACCTCAATTTTATCTAATTCACTATCTATGTAGATATTAAGAATTTTTTTACCTCCACTGTACGTTTCTGAAAAAAAAGAGAAAGAAATATGAAAGTGTTTTTGATTTTACACAAAATCTCAACACTTGCTCTTACATGATGTACCTAATAAATTTCAAATACTTTAAAAATCATTTTTATCACACTTCTCCCCAGTAACTAAGCAGTACATCCGATGGCTTATAACGCTAAAAATCGAGTTTGGATAGCCACCGAAGGTATAGTACAAATAGTCACTTGTGTAACTTAGTGCTTAATAACAAACACACTTTACCATGCAGGGAATGATAGAAAGGTTCATGAAAGTCAGCAATATTTGATAATTAAATCTACTTGGTAAAAAGAACAAGTAGTATATGTCGATATGTAGAATGTTAATATTTCTTAAAATTCACATAGATTTCATCCACCAGTGGGTCAGTGGTAAGTTTACTGATTACTATGCTCAAATCTGGGGTTCGTTTCCCCATGATGGACACATCACGGATAGTTATTGTGTAGCTTAGCGTGAAAACATTAACAACATACATATTTTGGAAATTACAACCTTTTGGCTAACTTAAGCTCTAAATATAATGTGAAAGAGGAAGTTCCAATTTTTCCAGATATTTACCAAAAAATGCAAGAGAGCCACTACAACTCTAAAACTGTCACTATGTCGTCATCAGAATTATTTGAGCGTTCACGGTTGGTAGCTTAGTCTACGCTTTAATACCTACTGGACACAATTATGCCTTTCTTCAAAGACAGAGCATCATAAGTATCTTTAAAGGTATCTAGATGCCAAAAAGTTGACCACTGTAAATTTCAAAATGTTAGTCTCTCGATACTAAACCCATTTATGTGCTCAAATTTGGTTGCTAAGACTATGTTTAGTATTTGTTCAACCCAATTACATATACATTACAGTTAATTATTCACAACTGTTTTCAGTTTTATGGGGACGGATTCTTTACACTGTATGTCTGTGAATTGTTGGCGATAAATTTAAAAAATAAATGGACAGCACACAATCCATATATATTGAAAAACAAGTCAAACATATATATACAAAACTTCGTTACACTATTGGTTATTACAGTTGTATCCAGAGCTATAAGTAATTGTCTCTTTTTCGTCAAAGTCCACACAGGCGGGTTCAATTACCTTAGAACATCCTTTGCCAAGACAAATTATTCTTCTCAATCTCTGTTATTACCATACAAGTTGTGAAACTCATTTTAGAAATTGCACATTATAGCTAAACTCATATGCAGTTAACTTCACTTTTACTTTCACTAACTTAATTTACTTACACTAATTCAAATATATATATATATATCTAATAAGCATTAAGAAGTTTTATGCAAAATCCATTGTAAATCCCAGTCGTCACCTTAAAGTCATAACGAATATTGTCTGCGGTAATTGCTCCCGAATGCATTGGGAATATCCCATCCACCAGGAAAAAATCCAAACGCTGATGTTAAACTAGCCAGCAATTATGGAAAATCAAACGAGGGTATGGAGTTAAGTGCTTACACCCACAATGTCTCAACTCCTACTGCCTCTCACCATCTGCAGCCAGTTGTGGGAAGGCCGTTACCCATAAAAGTTCTTAAAATTCCTAATGTAGAAATGAAACCACCCTAATATTTCTACTATATGCTACTCCCAACATCCGACCTTACAAACGAAATGAAATAATAAAAGATAGTAAGTAAAATGATCTTAAAGAAAACTACAAGCCATACCTTAATGTTTCGTATGTAGTTCATACTGTCAACATCCTCTCTTATCATCTACTATCTTAGTGTTGTCTACCTGTTAATCTTTCCATTCTAGTTTTTCATTCTTTGCTGTTCTTATCCCTTCCTAAAGCCCATCATTGGTGATGTAACAGAAAATAGTTTAATTCAGAAACGATTTAAGTTTAAAATTAAATCGATATTTTTACTTTCATGGTAAATTTTATACCGTTGGCTCTAGGCTAGGTGATCCCGCATTACGTCTTTCATTCTCAATCATCATTTTAGGCTGTATCAGTCCACTGTAAGGCGTAGCTCTCTACCAAAGACATCCTGTCTTTGACGGGAATTTGGCCTACATGTTGTTGACGGGTTTTTTTCGTAGAGGTATTTTTCCTGTAGCCTTCTGCCTTCCTGGTTTCACTCACAAGGTAGTGGGGGTCAAAAATAGAGGTTTTATGGCACCCCTGACTTGGACCCTCTCTGGACATGTGAGGCATTTGATCAGGACATCTGCACCACCAGGATGACCCACCTATTCCTCTGCTTAAGTATATTTACACCTGTTGAAATTAAGTGCGTACACAATTGCATTTAGATAGTAAGGTGCGCACTAATTTTCAAGACAGAAAAACTGAGTATTATTATTATCATAGATATGAAATAGACTGCATTGTAAAATAACAAAGTTTTATGAATTTAAATGTGTGTTACGTGTTCTTTATGACAAAAATTATACTTGCCAATTGTCTCAGAAAATCATAGTGACTAAAGTGGTGAATGTTGCTATTTTGCTTAGTTTCTATTGCAGTAAAATCTGTTTACGTGAATGAACTTTGTTCTGTAATAAGTCATTTGTTTGCTATATTTAGTTGGCCCAAAATGAGTTTATTAACTAGATGGTAAAATTGGACATAAGCAAATCAGTGTGAGGTGGCATAGTGTGGTTTGAATATTATTATTCTTGAAACTCCGTAAGGTAATGAATAAAAAATATAATGTTAACAATATAATAGGCCTAATACTAATATCTTATGACAAGTATAATTAATTATAATCATACTATGCCAGCTTAGAAAGGGCATTCATATCATAACAATTGTAAGTATTGTTTGACTAGAAGTGTTAGCAACAATTATGTAAATAATTATAAAGCCATAAAATATATAGCTCAAAGGATCCAGTGAAAAATATGCTTAAAAGTTTGTAAATAATAATTTCTTTAAGAACTTAAGTAAAAATCAATAAAGTAAAAATATTCAATTCTAAAATGAATTTTGATAACTGATAATGCATGTTGAAAATTTGGTACGATTTTAGTTAAACTCTGAATGTTCAGATTTAGTAACTCACTAACACATACATGTAATCCAAATGTACACAAACATTTGATTTTGTAACATGTTTGCCTGTTAGAAACTAAAGTATAAAGCATGAAGCAAAAAGAAGTTGCATGCCACAGAATGCAGAGGCTTGAGAGAGAATAATAGTAGTATTCAGTATAAGTTGAAAGGCACTATGAGGAAAAATATACACAAACACATCTATAGCAGTGGTGTAGAAAGAAGTTGCAAAGCGGTGGGGTGCTTGGTTAGTGTCAGATTTTGAATGTGGGCTGGGATTCTTCTACACTAAGTGTCTGTGACTTGTTGGTGATGAATTTGAACAATAAATGAACAGCATACAATCCACTTGTTTTAAAATAATATATTAAGAACTAGCCAAACGTATGTACAAAAATTCTTTACACTATAGGATATCGCAGTTGTATCTAAAACTCTAAACAACTCTCTTTTACATCAAAAGTACATACAGGCTGGTTCAATTACTTTAGAATCCAATTAACAAGACGAATTATTCAAATTCGATGACGAGAAACCCATTAATAATGCTTGGAGACGGCTTGAATGGGTAATGAAGAAAAACTTTAATATAAGTTTAACATAACAGCAAATGTACAAGGTTTCGACAAGGTTCTGTCATGATCAGGTACAAGTAGTTTACACTAACACAGATATATATATATATATATATATTAAAGTATGGAACAAAGAGGTCACATGACCGGATACTGTTGCATGACTTAGAAGAGATATATTGGTACCCCAATGTGTTGCTTTAGAGTAGGGTTGTTTTGTTCAATTAAGATGGATTCCTTGATTTTTCGTTTGTTTATGTTTGGTTCTTTGTTTAAAATTATTATGTTTTTAATAGATATACTACAGTTTTTTTTATTTGCAATGGTGGAAATCATGGGACGGTTTTTTATTGTGTTCTGTGAATCT